CTGTAGCATCAGCTTCCCAAAAGAAAGATACTACCTTTTTATTACCATCTCCTTGGAGAGCTATTTTCTTTTTGGCATTACTTCGTAATTGTTGCTTCTATAATCATTAATCAAACTCAATTTTGCAAACCTTTCTTAATCAGATAATTAGCAGTCAGTCTAAACCAAAATAAACACACTACATAATGAGAGCATTCTGTGGCCATCATTATGCAAGAAGAAAAATATTTGACTATAGGCAGCTCTGATCAGAAAAAAACCATACTCTATATAAAACTCATGGTGGGAAGCTCAAATTGTTTTATTTTACCACGCGGATAGAGAACCTCAAACTTGTGGGCCAAGTCTGTCTCAAAACTACCCTCTTGTATCTTACACCAGGGAGGTGCTAAGGCAAGAAACTCCTTGGAGTTTTATTTACCCCTTGTCTTTCTTACCAGAAAAGAGGAGAGGCTAGTGAGGCCAGCTTTGAAATACTTCCAGTGTCTTTGAGTTCTAACTCCTGTGTGTAAGCAAAGTTGATGTATGTACCTCAGCAATTACATCAGAGATCACATTCCTACAACGAGTAACCATAACCACTTTAGGCTGAGGTGCCAACCAAAGAATCGTTTTGAGTTTTGGACCAAGCCTGGCTCTCCACCACCATTTTAATAGATTGTTTTGCTGCTTACTTTCTAATTGATAACCTAGACCTTCACAATATGAAATGGCAGGTGAAAAACTATTAGAACACCAAACTGAAGAAAGCTGCATTTGCACGACATGCTTATTGACTTTAGTTTACTCAAATAACTCAATTTTCTGAATTTGGGTTCCAGCGGTAGTGCCCCAAACAGGCAATTACAACTTACTGTGACACACCAATACCCATCCAAAGCATGTTTACTCACAAAGATCAGAAGTTAATACAGGTTCTTTCCAAATTAAGAGTTAGGATAAGAATTAACCAAACTCTCAAGAAGCCAGAAGCGCCACTGCTTCCTTTCCTTAAAAAAAACATCTGGCCTAGAATAAAATAAAATGCTGAGGAAACAAGTGTTTCTGGTGTGGGGGGAGAGGAAGATGCCTCTTCTGCAGGACCTGTGGCATAAAAAAGAGTTTGCACGAAGACCCTGGGTGGGACTAGACGACAAAAGCAAAACCATTTCTTTCGTGTATCCATTTGCATCCCTTGCATTAAAAATAATCAAAGCACTTCACAATAGCAAAGCGAGCCAGCAGCTGTGTTTGCATGACGCACACACCGTTTGCTGAGTTAATGTTTTCCGCCAAACATAACGACACCTAATTCAGACAGCCAGGCTTTCGGTTAGCTACTCTACTTCGCAAGGCTGTTGGGAGCACAGAAAGGAGAAGGAAGATCTTCCAAGGCTGCCTTTGAGAAAAAGGCAAGATAACCTCAAGACACAAAGAGGATCTCTAGGCTACTTCCCTCGCCACTTGAGGCAGAAAAGAATAATAGGATTTTTATTACGGTCAGAGACCAGAGTTACAGACAGAAGCACATTAAAAAGGCAGATGAGGCCACTATTCCTTACCTGCCCTTCACCCAAAAAGTCGAGTTTTTCGTAGCGTTTGGCTCGCGTTCGCGCATCCATGGCGACGCGGGACCAGGGAAGGCCGGAAAAACGATTTAAAACCCTCGTGGCTGAAAACGAGCTTCAAAACTCCAAACGCCCAAAGTGCAATTCTCCTCCGCCGCTTCCGGCTTCCGGCGCGGAGCTCTATGCCTGCGCATGCGCCGTATGTCAGCTAAGGACGCGTCTGCCGGCAGGGCAACGGCGTCTGACGCGGAGAGGGAGAAGTGACAGTGAGATGCCTGTCGCCGGGACGCTGCGTCCTCGGCCCCTTCAGAGGCCGCTTTCGAGGGAACGAGAGCGAGGACTGGGTACCGCGCTAAGATTGGCTGAGCAGCAGGAGCAGTATCCCCTCCCACAACTTGGCCTTGAAAGGAGGAGAGCATACTTCATATGAGTGAAAGCACGATACAGCAATTTTCCAACGAAATAAAAAAAATGTTACTATCTGCCAAGTTTGGCCCTTAGATGTTTTGCACCCTGTCTGTAATACGTTTTAATGACTGGGTGGTTGTTGTAAGTGTGCGTGGCACTTTGAACATTTTGGGAGGGGGGTAGAGAGGCAAGAGAAAAAGCATTTTATAAACACCTTAAGTAAATAATAAAAGTGTTCTGCCGATGCCAGTAAAGTGACCCGCAACACGCTTCAATTGAGAGTTCGGTTGAGTGACCAATTATGCGTAGCCAAACTGAGGAAATGCCCCACAAAGAGGATTAAAACTGCATTTGCTAAGTGGTATGTATATACACAGTTCTAGAAATAATAATTATACATACAACAAATCACATTATGATGGAAAAGACGACTATGACCAATTGATTTGGTCCCTGTCAGTCTATCCAGATGGTGTCTATTGGTGAGAAATCCTAAATTTCCTGCCCCCACTTTTGATGGTTATCTTTATACCAGGTTTAAAATTCACACATAGAACTGCACTTATGTGGTTAAGCTGTACCTTTATTAAAACTCTGCCAGCTTCAAATCAACCCTCAATTACATTCAGAAATCTTCATCTGTGAGTTTGTAGATAGCTAGTTTACCTTAGTAATTTTGTGTGTGTGTGTGTGTGTGTATGATATTTGAAAGTGTTACCTGATTTGCTTCCTCTTCCTTAAATTTCACCTCCAATTTACTGCAATGTTGGACTGGCCAAGCCCTGAATAAAACATTAAAATGGACCTAATGATGATCTTTCCAAGTAGAAATAGCGTAATGTTCAGATATCCTCTCAGCTTCTCCCAGTTGCAGGGCTGACTGTTGAGCACTTGCAAAATAATAAATGCAATTAAAAGAGTTTTTCATTAGGCATGTCTTGCACTACCAGCAAGGAATATCCACATTCTCTGGTAATATCCTTTGCTTACTCCAAAAAGAAAAACTTGGCCATTCCAAAAGCAATGCTGTTGTTTTTCATCCATTCTTTTGTAGGTTTGCATGTATGTTTGGGATTACTATCCTGCTACCTGACCTGCTTACACTTCAGCTGATGGCCAAATGACCTGTAGTCTCCTGTGAAATTCTGATACAAATCAGAATACATGCTTCATTCAATGATGGCAAGTCTAGGTCATCCCCAAACCATGATATTACTACCTCTGTGCTTGACAGCTAGTATGAGGTTTTTACTGTGAAATCAGTGTTTGGTTCCCTCCAGATACAATAATGTCCATGTAGCCTGAACAATTCTACTTCTGACTCATGTTGTTCATTGAACATTCCTCCAGAAGTCTGGAGAATCTGCAAAATATGACTGTGGAACAGTGCTCCAGAGCTTTAGAAATGTTTTGTAAATTTTTCTATATTGACAGGCATCAATATGACATTTTTATAGAGGTCTTCAGAAACTTCTTTTGAATGAAGCATGACATGTTTTTAAAACCTATGATGAGAACTTCACTCCGTAATGAGAAAAATCAATGCTTTTGAGATTTGCATGGGGTAGGGCTGGCCCAAATCAGCCCTGATTGATTAATGAAGTTCTCAAACTGCCCTTTGTTCTCCCTTTAACAATTCAATACATTAAAAGGGAAGTAGCGGTGTTTCCTTTTTCACAGCAGCACATTATGTTGGGTGACTTTATGAAATGAAATAAACACCAAATATTAGTGTTATGTGTTTACTCAGGTTCCTTTTATATTTCACTAGGACCCACAGGAACATTTAGTGTTTGCAAAAATATGCAAAAATTCAGAAAATCCAAAAGGAAGCAAATACTTTTTTCACAGAACTGTAAGTAATGGGAAAAGAACATCAATGCACACATAATATGTTTGAGAAAAAGCAGGCAGCACTGAAATGTACATTCTGCTAAGCAGGTGCATCCAAGACTGCAGATCCATATTGTGGTTTTTATTAGCAAACTGTCAGATGTGTTTGCTATATTATTTGTATTATTTGTTGTATACCCAATTGCAACTGGCAATTAGAATTTATTTGGTTTTTGTGCAAATGCTGCTAATGTAGAACAAACCTTAAATACATATGAAGAATATATCAAACAATAGTAGAAATGCAATCAGTACATTCTGTGTAATACATAAAAACATCCTTACAATAATAAAAAGTGAACTTAATGGAGCTAAATCTACAGATTTAGTAAAATCTTGCATACACATTCACATTTTAAACTTGAACCTCTATCCCACTTAAACAAGACAGATGAAAATTCTTCTCAAGTTTGTGTAATAAATTGTTTCAAATAACATTTCTTCATTGCTTGGCTGTGCTGTTCCTCTTTCCTGTCATTAAAACAGATATGTTATAGCAAGTGCACCTATTAAAAATGAAATCAAGTATTGATCACAAGATCCATGAATATATCCATTTGTAGTTTCAGTACTGCTCCATAAAAATAATTTTGTATGTGCTTCCTATAATTCATTGTATGTGTTTCATATAATTAATTGATGTGTACTATAATCATGTACTAAGTATTGTATACTATGAATTATACTTCACATCATTCTGAATTTGTGTATTAGTAGTATACAAATCAGTGCTACCCAAATCAATCAGCACAAGGAGTTCTTCCAACTTCCTGATTCAGTGACTCAGAGCAACCCACTCATGGACATGTTCTACTGTGCAAGTAATGAGCTCCCTATAAGAAATGGGCATCTTGATGGAGCAAAGAAAGTAAACACACACAGGAGATTCTTATCTGCACACTGCAATTCATGGAAATTACTGGAACTCATCTGAGTCCAACTGAATAATATTAACCCCGACTGACAAGCACATATTACAAGTATTTTAATTTATTACAATGTAGTCACTAGGTTCATTTAAAGAAAAGCATATGAAAATGACATCCTGCATATTCTGAACCAAATTTATTTTAACAAGTGTGCAAGCTGAGGTAGTATAGCACTCAGAAAGGGAAGAGCTGGCTTGTTTCTTTTTCCAAAGGAATAATCATGTATGTTTGTACATTATGTTTATTCAACACAGTGAGTCCATTAACCAAATTTGTCAGTTTTGATAGTGGCTAATTTAAGTTTATTTCTCAAAGTTCTTTGGATGCTCACTAGAAGGAACAAATCCTGTACTGTTCAAACTTTGAAAACACCATGGTTTTCTTCTGGCTGTTATTAACTGCCATTTTATTAGTTATTTTTAATTTTTAGTGTATCAATAGCAACTATAAGAGATAAGGAATCTATAATGAATAGAATGAAAAAAATAAATTTTAACAGTGCAGTTAAAGTGGAGGCTTCTGATTACTTGAAACAGAATTGTCTTTGAATGTGAGACACAATCACTTTCTGAAGCGATTACCTTTTAGTTCCTCACAAAAGCACTTTGGAAAAAAATCTTTCCTTATGAACTCCTTTAATATCCAGAGAGAGAGAGAAGAGAGAGAGGAAGGACTTTATTGTACATACAAGGGTTCATTATTCATCAAACTGCACAATGCTCCATCTTATTCTGGGCCTCCACGCTGTAAAATAAAATATTATCTTTTAGCAGAAACAAAAATCAGTTCTTGCACCATTGCTGCTGATCAGACTGATATTCATTATGTACTTATTTACTGCCTTTCCTATAGGAACTCAAGATGATACACATAATGCTCCCTCTTCCTACTTCTCACCACAACAGCAACTCTGTGAGGTAGGTTGAACTAAAAGAGAGCAACTGTCACAAAGTCACCCAGTGAGCTTCTGTGGCTGAGAAGAGATTAGAACCTGGGTTTTACCATTCCTAGTCCAACACCTTAACCACTATAGCACAGTTTCTACCGCTATGATATACAGTCACATATATTCTATCTTCCACTCCCACTTGACTGTTTCAGCTCCTTCACCCAAGAGCATGTTCCATTTGACTCTCTCGGGCACAAGCAAGTTAGGCAAACAGCTGATGGAAAAGATGCAAGTGAGATGGGTGACTATATAAATTCAACAAACAAACAAACAACTGTAGTACTTCTTTTCATAAGAGATTCACTTTGGACAGGGATTTTAAGTCCCCCCCTCCCCCAAGGAACAGGAAAAGTATATCTTATTACTAAGTACTTTTCTGCTGAATTTATCTGGTTCTTCATCTGTTGTAGTTTGGCTGACAGACTGCTGGGAGAGTTAGAATTTTTGGTTGTTTCAACGCATTATGGTGCTGAAAAGATGTTTTAATATCTCCAAGGATTTTATTTTGCAATAGGTGGCACACCCTTGGTTTAAAGCATGCCTCTTAATTAATTTTTTTGTGGGCTCTAGAGATTCTTGCCATTGAAATTCACTGACTAATTATTAAACATCCACATTATTTCTTGATTTCTAGTGTGCAATAAAACCAATACGATGCATTGATGATTAAAACCTAGTCCCACCCTCTTTCTATGATTTTATTGTCCGGCTTCTGTTTGTTCTAAAACAAACAAAAAACCCAAAAAACTTAAAAAAGTGGTCTCTGGCCACAAAAAAGCAACCCACATATAATCCAAACTTGAATTTAATTACTTGATTTTTAAAAAATTAGGCTTTGAAATGAAGCAATACTAACCATTTAATCTTTTTTAAACTAATGGAAACTTACTTGAATGTATTCCATCTCTTCGACTGACATGGGTTTTCTCCTGTACTTCTGCGGTAAAGTTCTTACTAATTCTGCTGTGTCAGGTATGCCTTGTGTTCTACCAGTAAATAAAGTACTTTCATAAGATGGTGTCTTGCTTTCTGCAGAAAATTGCGAGGCTATCCCATGAAGCGGAGGCACTCTTGACTGTAGAGACTCCTGCACTGAAACAGTAAGAGAGAAAATTATCTATATCAGCAAAAATACTCTGGATACCCTAGATCATGACTAATCATGTTGGTCTATTGCAGCAAGAGTCTTGGGTTACATTAAAGGCTAGATACAAGTGCTGTTCTCAGGTAGTAAATATATTTGTTAAACATATGTAGAGCAGTATAGAGCTAACGTTGAAGAAGCAATGTAAGGATGGTATGGTAAATGTTCACATAGCCTTAGGAAGGGAGAGAGGGTGAGAAGGAAACTCAAGATAACTCCACCTTGATTCTCTTTAGTATAAGAGGGGGCAGAGGGAAACTGTCAGGTTTCTGTTATTATACTCTACAATAATAAAGTAGAGTTCTAGTAATGACCTGGCCTACCTCAAAGGGCTAACATGTCAATCTGGCCCTGGTCATTGGCCATGTTGGATGGATATGATGAGAGAGTTGCAATCTAGCACATCTGGAGAGTCAAGGATTAAGGAAGGTTGGCATATACACATCATGTAAACTGTTGAAGTTAAATAGTTAATTCAAAAAATTTCAGACTCAGACCCCAATTAAAGCTTAGAAGTACCCAGAAGAAACAGTTATATTTGTGCACAAAAGTGGATACCGTAAACACCTTAGTGATGTGAAATAAATTAGCAGCCATAGTTGGAAAACATTACATTGGGTTCACATATCATGGTAATGTGGATTATAAACTATGAGTTATCATTTAAATCTCTTGAGCACATCCCAACCAATACTGGTTTACTGAATAAATTATGGTAAGCCATGGTTTGGCACCATGTGGACTTAGGAAAGAAATACTTACTTTTAGCTTTTGGAGTACTTTTTCTGTCTGGGAACTTAATCAGTGGTGTATGTGGCTTGACTACCTAAAGAAATGGAAGATATATTGGAAAAGCAAGTCAGCATATACATTTACATATATGTGTGCTTTTGCCGAGAAAGGATAAAGTTTATGCCCCCTTTTAGATTGAGAGCCAAGTTGATGGAGTTGTTAAATTGCAGGATTGGAAACCAGAAGATTGTGAGTTCTAGTCCTTCCTTAGGCATGAAAGGCAGCTCTTTCAGTCCAACCCACATTGCAGCATTGTTGCTGTTGTGAGGAAAAAAGGAGGTGGGAGTGTTATGCACACATTGCCCTGAGTTGTAGAAAATAAAGGCGAAACATAAATCTAATAGTAATACAGTGGTACCTCTAGTTACAAACGCCCCTCCTTACGAATTTTTCGAGATACGACTAGCTCTGGCCCCAAAAATTTACCTCGACTTGCGAACTCCGCCTCAAGTTACGAACCGGATCCGCGGCCATTTTCCCTGCTGCCACACGGTCGCAGCTTCCTGTGGGCGAGATCGCGGTAGCAAGGATATGTTCGGTGAGGCTTGTGGTGTGTTTTGTGGCGTTTGG